TCTCAGACGCTTGCCCCGGGCCAATGGCTTTCTGGAGGAGTTTCGCCAAGGCACCATTGAGCGGGAGTGCATTGAGGAGATCTGCAGCTATGAGGAGGTCAAGGAGGTGTTTGAGAACAAGGAGAAGACGGTATGTGTTTGGCCAAAGTAACTTCAGTCTGGAGTTGGGGAGGGGGGGGAGTCCCCCCCCCCCCCCCCCCCCCAAGCACCTGCCCGGCGGACCCCCCCCCCCCCCCCGACAAGATGACTTACTGCCCAATTGCTTAAGTGTCAGTAGCAAATCTAGGTCTCACTTTCTCTTGTTAAGCACCCCTCTAGGGCAGTGTAATGTTTTCTTCCCACTCCAAGTCCTGGGGTCTGTGCTCTGAGTTCTAGCATTGGCAAGGCAGTGCTGGCACTTCCACAGCGTGTTTTAGTGGCATGCTTCCCTTGCTTTGACTGGCCAGGGCAGGGGTTGGTGTTGAAACAGCTGATGTCATGTCATTAGTCCATTAGCTGCAGGCAAAGTAAGTGGCTGGAATCCTTTACCTCAGGGGTTGCTCTGCATCTGAGGCCCCATTGGACAGGGGAGGGAGCTGGGAGGAGGTGGCTGAACAATTGTAGCTGAAGAGTGCAGGGTGGGCACTGCTGTGACATGAGCTCTTGTGACTAGTACTTCTTTCTTTCTCTCTGTAGTTGGAGTTCTGGAAGGGCTATGCCAACTCTGTTTACTCTGTCAAGGATCCTGGCCAGGGCTTGGAGCGCTCTGATGCAATGTACGTGGTGGTACCCCTCCTGGGAGTGGCCCTGCTCATAGTTATTGCCTTGTTCATCATCTGGAGGTGCCAGCTACAGAAGGCCACGCGGCACCGGCCCTCTTATGCCCAGAACTGCTACCTGGCCAGCCGTGCAGGCCGCAGCCTCCCCAGAGTCATGATCTACCGAGAGACGTCGCACAGCCAGACTGAGGCCCAGTACCAGCGGGAGCCAGGCCCCAGGGTGCTCGGAGATGGCAGAGCAGGAGGTGGCTCCCAGGTGGATGGGACCCTTTACCCTCCAGAGCACTCCGTGTCTGTCCTCTCCAGACTATCCAGTGCCACCCCTCCCCCTTCATATGAGGAGGTGACTGGGCACCCGGAGAACAGCAGTGGTGAGGAAACCGGTGTTTCCTACAATGACCCTCCGCCCAAGTACGAGGAGATTGTGGGTGTGTCCCCTAGCTTGGGCAAATAATGGTACCCACTTGCCATGCGTGGACCCTCCTTCAGGTGCAATTCTTGCTCTCTCACTTTTACCAGACGATGCCATCACAGAATAGCCTTACCATCCTTGTTCACCAAAAATAACTGGCCCTATGGGAGGGAGGCGAGGCAACAGAGTCCAGCTAGACCTCTCCTCCCCAAAGCAGGGGTTGCAACAGAGAGAAGCCACCAACACAAGAAGGCTTCTGCAATTTTCTTTTCCCCACATTCTCTTCACCAGGCAAAACATAGCCAGCCCAGACTCCATGTGGAAAGGAACCAGCTCAGAGAGGCACAGTGGCAGGTGTGGTAGGGGTATCTGCCCAGGATTACCTGGATGGGAGGGTTCTGGGAGCAGCTGGCTGGGGAAGAGTCCCTAAGCCCTCCTGTGGGACTAAAGCCTGTCCCACATAGATGATATTCCCTATGCAATAGTGGTACCAGTAGAAGCAGGGAGGGAGGCTCCACAGAGCAGCTGCCCATGAGAAGGGAAGCTGGCCCTGCCTTCCATTCCCTCTTGAGTGCCATAGCAGCAGGAGACAAGTGGCAGATCATCATGGACTCTGTGTGGGGGTCGTGTTGGTGCATTGCATCCAAGAGAGCCGCATCACTTCCATGAATTCCAGACAACTTCACGGCCACTCCAGAGCTCACCTTGGCTCCACCACTTACTCATGCAGGTGCTGATCCCCCTGCATCCACAGTGCTGCAACATGTAGAGACTGGGGCACCAGTGATCACACACAGATGGGACTATTTTTTACCCCTTCTTTCAATACCTGTTGAGCTGTTTTGTTCCCCATCACTGGCATTGGTTCTAGATCTAGACAAGACTCTTGTTTTCTGCATCAAGGTTATGGGATCTGGTTTGGAGGCAGGTAGAAGGAAGAGGAGATGGTCCTGGATTATTCCCTACTCATTCATTAAGTGTTGATGTTTATTTTGCCTTCAGAAGGTTTACCTCTCTTTGGTTTTGCCTGTGCGGGGGAGAGAGAGAGAGAGACTGTTGAGCGCTTGACCTCTGCACAGCTTTGTACAACATAAAATGGATCCACTCTCTAGCTTTGTCACCTAGACCAGTGAGCTGCACTAACTGTACTTCTCTGTCTCTCCCCTGCTTGTTCCATCCATCCATGTGTTTGGTGTTGCCTTATCTGTCAAGGGGAGGGGCTGCAACCAGGGATCCTATATAGTATTTAAAGGGGTAAATCTAAGCAGTACTCGTATGTAAAGTGGGTCCCTTGGTGCAGATATCTGAGTTTGGCTTTGTAACATGTTTCCTGTTGAGCATCCCCATATCCCACCCTCTGTAGTAGTTGGGGATGGGGGCTTGGAGCTAGGATCCATGTCTAGATTTGTCTGTGGCCAAGGTGGATCAATGAATGATCTTTCTTTTTTGTCCCTAAGCCAAATACTGGTCCAAGCAGATCAGCAAGGTTCTTTCCCCTTCTCTGAATAGTAGGGGCATCCCTTCCTCCCCACTTCTTCCTTGGTGCCCCATGATCTCTGCCATTACCTCTACCACATACTGAATGCAGTTAAATGGGGTGCTTCTTGGCTTCATGCACTTATTTCCTCCCTGTCCCACCATTTCCTGCCAATGCTGACTGGACCAGCTGAAGGAAGGTGGTGTGTGAAACTCCACACGTCCAGGTTGGAGGGTGCAACAAGGAAATCTCCCCTTCTGCAGAGCACATGAGGTGACACAGGGTAGTTACTCATGTTAGGAACCAGAACCCTTGAAATTTTACTCGCTGCTGGCCCAGACCTGATTTCTCAGTTCTGCTCATTCTGCCCTTCCACTCTGCTGCAATCAGCTTTGAAGAGGGGACAGAAGGAGGGCCTAGAATGGGTCTAATCTGAGGTTATTTATGTGGATGGTGCTGATGCTGCTACCCATATTGAAGCCCAAGGCATAAAGGAATCTAGCACTTGGTGGGCTGAAAGATTGTTGGTCTTGGGCTTGGTGACCTTGTTTCCACATTTTTTTTGTCACCTAAGGCAAGGGCAGCAGCAGTTTTAGGAGAGGCAGGAATGTTGGAACTGAAATGGGAGGAAGAGGACAGGAGTGAGGAGGAAGGAGTTGTGGGTGAATATGTTGCAGTGAAGTAAACTGGAGGGAATGGGTAGGGTGGGAGGAGGGGGAAACCTTAAACCTTTTGGCCCCTGCCACTCAGGAAGTGCACAGACACAGGCAGTGTTGTTAGTGCTCTGAATGACACTGCCATCAGCAAAATCGCTCTACATCATTTTGGTTAAGCAAAAGATATGGTGTGGGGAGTTAGGGTGGTGGGTCTTTTGCCCTCAACATCTCTGCAGGCTGGAGTTGGCTGCTTGGGGAAGAGGCATTTTCTATATGGTGCATATTTGACACAAGATGCTACCTCTTTTCTTCAGTGTGACTGTGTTGAAGAGGTGGTGTTCCCAGCACCATCTCCTTTATATGCATCTAAGTGAC